AAAAAAAAGATCGGGCATGGTGGTGCATGCCTATAATCCCAGAACTTTGGGAGTCCGAGGCGAGTGGATCACCTGAGGTCAGCAGTTCAAAACCAACCTGGCCAACATGGCGAAACTCCATCTCTACTAAAAATACAAAAATTAGCTGGGCGTGGCGGTGGGCACCTGTAATCCCAGCTACTTGGGAGGCTGAGGCAGGAGAATCTCTTGAGCCCAGGAAGCGGAGGTTGCAGTGAGCCAAAACCACGCCACTACACTCCAGCCTGGGCAACAGGAGTGAGACTCCGTCTCAGAAAATAAAAAGAGAAGAAGAAACTCGGTGACAACTCTGAGACCCTCGCTTGTGCTGTTGGGGAAGGATCCAAGAAGGACTCCAGGTCCATCAGCAGGAAGTATGTACAGGGCTGGAGGAGGGCCTGCCGTCCCCACCTGGCCCTAGAATAAAGGCTTAGATGGCAAGAGAGAGGAAAGGAGCCGAAAGCTGGTCACGCCTGAGAGTCACTGAGTCATAGCGCTGTTGGGCGCGTCCTCCAGGCGGACTGGACCCTCACGGTGACCCTTGGTGCCAGTTTTCACCGGCATGTTTCTGAGTCTTTGCTAAGTTACAGGACTGCGCGTCTGAGTCTGTCTCCTGCCTTCTCTGTGCGCTCTGTCTACATGGCAGTCCAGCACCTGCTGCCTCGCCCTGTGGGGGGCGCAGGGCTTCCCGCTCCTTTCCCTTCATCAGGTTTTGCTTTCTGTTGAGTATTTGCCTCTTAGATCACTACCCTGAAATGGTAGAAAACATAAAAATCCCTGCGTGCATGTGGAGTGAGAACCTCAGAGCCCACATAAGAATCTGAAGCTGATCGATCTGTTCTGGATTAACTGTGTGTCATGGTGTGAATTGACCATGGGGAGTTCGGGTCCTGTGTGGTGTGTGATCGACAGTTCTGTTCTAGATCCCAGTGGAGAATGCCAAAGCGAGTGAGGAAGAGGAGGAGGATCCGACCTTCTGTGAGGTGTGTGGCAGGAGCGACCGTGAGGACCGGCTCTTGCTCTGCGATGGCTGTGATGCGGGGTAAGGACGGCTGGAAGGGCACACATGCCCCGCCGTGTGCTGGGTGGGCCAGGAACAGGAGGCACGCAGAGCCTTCCTCCTCCCTCTGTGAAGTCAGTCCCAGCGCCTGGAGCTGAGCACACCACCCGCAGCAGTGTGGTTCAGTCCTGCGGACCACACACCTCAGGCCTTCCTGTTACATCCACTCACATCTCCGTCTTTTCCCAAAACACATTCTGAGGCTGCTCTCAGGAATGCGGGTAAAACCTCAAGACAGAAAAAGAGAACAGCGAGACAGGAGGCTGTGGGGCCGCCAGCCAGAGGTGGGGACGTGTCCTGGGTCCCGGCCTTCGTGTGGGGGAGGAGCGGCTCTGCCGACGTCCAGCATGTTGGCTGTTTTGTCCCTCACCTTCCACCCTGCTCCTCCTTCCCCCTCCGGTGCGCGTCCAGTTAACCTGCACCCGCTGCTCTCCGTGGCACAGCTGGGGATAGCTGGGAGCGCCTGCTCTGGCCTCTGCGTGGCCCTGGCTTCCCGGGAACCCAGTGACATCATCCCCTCATCCCTGCTTTGTCTTATTGGCTGTAGGTAGACGTCCGCTTCCCCGTCGGCCTCCTGTGAGGGGCTTTCCCTGTTTGTTTGAATAATTTTTCTGCTGTAAAATTACGGCAAGAGGATTCCGGAAACTTTCCCTTGGGGCATGTGCCCCAGAAGACATTGAAAGAACCAGTGAGGCTGCTAGATCTGGAGCCTTCTCTTGGGCGGAAAGTAGCAGGTTTGGGGTTTGGACTACGGAACAGCCAGAGCCAGGAGGCCTTGACGTGCTGTGGCTGGAGCCACACAGAGGATGGGCCCCTGGTGAAGGCCCTTGCTGTGGCCAGTGGTCCTAGGCAGCCCAGCTTTGACACGGCCTTGACCACAGCCGCTTGTGCCCCCACCTGTTGCCTCATTTCTTACTCACATGCCCAGGCCCTGCTCTACTCACACCCCAGGGGCGCAGGACCCCCAGGCCCTGCTCCACTCACACCCCGGGGGGCGCAGGACCCCCAGGCCCTGCTCCACTCACACCCCGGGGGGCGCAGGACCCCCCAGGCCCTGCTCCACTCACACCCCAGGGGCGCAGGACTCGCTGGCTGGCCTTTTGCAGACACTGCAGGAGCTCCTCTGGAGCCCAGGAGGCAGCCGCCACGTTTGTCTTGCTGACACCTTTGTCCTCAGTTCGCTCTCCTTGTAGCCTGTGGGAGTTGAGGGGCTGGCAGTGCGCTCCACCGGCCCTTCCAGGTCCCACCCCTGCTTGGTCTCGCCCTCTGCTGCCAGCAGCCTGGGTGACAGCCACGCCTCTGCTCAGATTCGCAAACATCTTGTCTTCCCTCCTTTCTCACGAGCCTTAGCTTAAGTCCACGTGTCATGACAGTTTATTGAATGCTCTGCCTTGGCAGATCTTCACCTCCTTTGGGTTCCTGCAGTGTCTGCTGCCGACTGCCCAGCATGTGCAGGGTCTGAAGGGCAGGGCTGCTGCCTCCAGCATCCCAGGGGCCTGGTCAGCACGACTCTGGGAATGGTGCTTACTGACTTACACCATGAACATACACAGAATGCTTAAAATAAGGCAGAAGGGTGCTCAGCACTCCATGCCCATGTGTGAGACTGGTCCTCTTTACCTGTTGCTGTAGAGACAGGGTTTCAGCATGCTGGCCAGACGGGTGTGGAAGTCCTGGACTCAAGTGATCCGCCCACCTCAGCCTCCCAAACTGCTGGGATTATAGGCGTGAGCCGTTGCGCCTGGCCTAGCTGTAGTAACTTCTAACAAGGCTCTTGGGGGATGTTTACAACGTAATCAAAATTTTTTGTCATCATAAGTTTTACTTACAAAGTCAATATATTGATTTTTTTTTTTTACCTATAGTATTGAATTACTTGGCAGATAAAATGACACGAGTATATAAAACCCCCAATGGATCTAAAACATCAAAACCGGTAAATGATTCTCATGCTTGTAAACATTTCTGTACTATTAATATTGCAGTCTGCTACATATTCAGTTAAGTCTGACTTAAAAGTTACACATCTATAATTAATTAGTCATGTAAAAATGGAATCACAGGCAGGGCGCGGTGGCTCACACTTGTAATCCCAGCACTTTGGGAGGCCGAGGCGGGTGGATCACGAAGTTGAGAGATCAAGGCAATCCTGGCCGACATGGTGAAACCTCGTCTGTACTACAAATACAAAAATTAGCTGGGCATGGTGGCACGCGCCTGTAACCCCAGCTACTTGGGAGGCTGAGGCAGGAGAATCACTTGGACCCGGGAGGTGGAGGTTGCAGTGAGCCGAGATCACACCGTTGCACTCCGTGTGTGCCATAGCTGGGCAGATCTTGGCAGCTCTCCTTGTCCACGTGATCGTGTTTAGACTTGCAGCCATTTTCTTTTTCTCAGGGATAAATGTGGAGGACACAGCCCTGGCCTGGCTGTGGATGGGTGCCCACCGGGCACAGAGGGGCCTCTGCTTGGGTCTCAGGTGGAGCTGCAGCCTCCTCCAGGGCTGCTGGAGCTTCGTGGGAGAGTGGGTTGGACCTTTTCAGACTTTGGCCTTCTTTGAAAGAACGCACTGTTCAGTTCTTGCCTTTGCCCTCCAGAGAACTTGTGTAAGAGCAGATGTTAGGATGGGGCCTAGTTAGGGTTCTTCACAGCCCCTCCGTCCCACCCTGTCCTCGGTGCTGGCCTGGCATCCTCATACCCCCCACCCCGTCCTCGGTGCCACCCCTGGCAGCATGTGCCGTGCTCCTGGGGGAGTCTGCCTGTCTTCTTGCGTATCTGTCTCCTGTCTTTCTGGTGTGAGGCCTCAGCGACGGCCACACCACGGACACCTTCTCGTAGGTACAAGGTTTGTGGAAGAATGGGTTTACTCTTGTTTAATCTCCTATTTTAGATCATAGAGCAGTTCAGCACCATGATTAGTAAGCGTAAGTTCAGTTGACTTCAGGCTCCATTTTCAGCGAAGTACCAGCTTGGCTCCCTTCCCTTGTTTGTCTTTGCCTTGCTCAGGGCTGTCTGGGGTCTTTGGGATCCTTTCAAGAACCTTGGCACAGACTGCCGAGTCTCGGCTGCTTGGAGGGCACAGATGCCTCATCCCAGTGGCAGCGCTTCCCACGCTACTTTCCTGGAAGGCTTGATGGATACAATTAAAAAGCCGTTCACGTGCAGCAAAGAAACCTTTGCCTTTTTCACTAGCCTGTCGTGATGGGCGCCGGGTGAAACCCCATGAGTGAGGATGGGTGAGACAAGCCTCTCTGGGAGGGGCCCCCCAGGCAGCACCTGCCACAGGAGCTCAGCGTGAGCCACCGTCGGCCGCTGGGTGTGGGCTGGGCCCTGGGTGGGTGTTGTGGTCAGCTCAGCTGCTGTCAAGAACCACAGGCTGGGCAGCTTACACCACAGGTCTTCCTTTTTTTGGTTTTGGAAGCTGGAGGTCTGAGATAGCAGCAGACTGGCTCCCGGAGAGGCCCCTCTTGCTGACTGACACATGCCGCTTCCCCGCTGTGTCCTCACCTGGCCTTCCCTCTGTGCTCCTCTCCCGGTGTCTTGCTCCTCTGCAGACACCAATTCCACAACCTCGTTCAGCCTCAGCTACCTCCTTAAAGGCTCCATCTCTTCCTGCTGTCGCATTGGGGGTTAGGGCTTCTACTTACGAATTTTGAGGGTGCAGGTAAGCCCATCAGAAAGCATCACAGACATGGGTGCAGCTGGAGGCCTGCTTTGAGGTCCCCTTGTTGAGAGGTTTGGGGATGGCATGAGCAGCATCCGGACGCTCTGGCCCCACTCACTCCTGTAGGTACCACATGGAATGCTTGGACCCCCCTCTCCAGGAGGTGCCGGTGGACGAGTGGTTCTGCCCAGAATGTGCTGCCCCCGGTGTCCTTGCCGCTGGTAAGGACCCTGCTTCCATCCCAAGGCACACTTAGACCTCTCACTTTCTGCTCTGCTGTCCCAGGGAAGGGCCTTGGAGTGAGGGTCGGCTGTGGCTAGGGGAGGACATCTAGGGCCGTCTGTTGGGGGCTCATCTTCTCGGGGTTGTGTGTGGGGTCCATTGGCTGGTGGCTTCCAGCCCTCAGGGTTAGGAGCACCACACTTCATGAGAAGCCCTGTGTCCTGTGCACAGGTCAGCCCAAGCCGGGGCTGCTGCGTGGCCAGCAGCCGTGGGGGGAGGCGCGTGGTCTGTGTGTGCAGCACGTCAGCCCTGGTGGTTCTTCCCAGATGCAGGTCCCGTGAGTGAGGAAGAGGTCTCCCTGCTCTTGGCTGATGTGGTGCCCACCACCAGCAGGCTTCGGCCTCGGGCAGGTAGGACCCGGGCGATCGCCAGGACACGGCAGAGTGAAAGAGTGAGAGCTACCGTGAACCGGAACCGGATCTCCACGGCCAGGAGTGTCCAGGTGGGTGGCCCAGCCCCGACGCCTGTCCCAGAGCCGCTGCTGCCCCGCCATGGTCTCAGCGGTGCAGGTAGGTGCAGTGTGGGATCTGCCCAGCCCCGGTGACGGTGTTCGTCAGCCTGCTGAGGGGAGCAGGTGAAGGCACCCCAAGGTGGGGCTGGAGCCTGTGTGTTGAGGGGCAGGTAAGGCCTGGCCTGAGGGTGGGGGCTCTGGGAAACCCCCCTTGCTCCCTGGGCCCCATGCCAGCGCCACTCCCTCCAGGCACCTGCCAGTGGAAAGCTGGTGCTCGGCTTCAGGCGCTCTCTGCAGCCTCTGTCCTCACAGCTACCTTTCTCGAAGCAGTGGACAGGCAGGAGGGTCTGGGCTCTGGGCGTCTGGTATGTGCCCTTGGCAAGCATACCGTGGAATTTGGAGTGACTGGGAAGGCTGTTCCTGTCCAGTGCTCTGCCCAGCACTGCAACACCCCCACCACAGTGACTGGTGCTCTCCCTGTGCCCTTGGGATTCTGTCTGCTCCCCACCCACCCGCCCTTTCCCTCATCCCTCCGCACACCACCTGCACACCTGTCCTCCCCACCCACCCGCCACTTCCTCGTCCCTCCCGCACACCATCCGCACACCTGTCCTCCCCACCCACCCGCCACTTCCTCGTCCCTGCCGCACACCACCCGCACACCTGTCCTCCCCACCCACCCGCCCTTTCCCTCATCCCTCCCCACACCATCCGCACACCTGTCCTCCCCACCCACCC